TTATTCAACAAGAACAACCGATTGATACCAATTTTAGATCATTTCGAGGTCATCGAATTCCGGCCAACTTACCATTCACGGGCCTAAGCCTCGTCGCCATCATTGTTCATCGATTTGACTTAATCGCTCCTTCATCTCGGAAAAAATCACTATCCTTTTTTCCATATTCCTCTGTTTCTGTTTTTCTTTTCTTTTTCTTCTTTTGCTATTTTTCTTTTTGTTTGTGTTTTGAATTTACGTGTTAATTTGTTCTTAGATTAGTTTAGTAATTTGATTAAATTCAGTAAAAGTAGGAATAATTAGTTCATTGCACTAGTTCAATCATTTGCTTTAGATTAATTAAATCAATCTTAATCAATTTAGTTGGTTTAGGTAGGTTTATTTAATAAGTTGTTTCTGTTATTTTTAATCTTTATTAAGCTCTTAATTATTTGATTTCTGATGATTGAATGCTTATTAGAATCTGGGAGAGTGAAAGGGTAATAACAGAAACTTTAGGATGGTTAATTGGAAACAAAATTAAGGAGCCTACGTTTGGAATTGTCTAGGAAGTTTCTAGAAAAAGGACTAAAGTGTAATAAAATAACTGAAAACTGCATCATATTGGGGTAAAAAAAATGAGTAAGTTCAGAAGTAAATGGACCTAAAATACATGAGAAAAATCTACATTTTTTGATAGAAAAGATGCCCCATCCCTAAATTTCAGCTGACAGAATTCCCAAAAGATTCTTTCACACCCCTCTGATTTTTCTCACAAAGTCACACTCTTATATTCTATATAAAGGGCCATATATCACTCACATAGACAGACATACATACAGATTACACACACCGAAAACCTCTCTCTGAAATTCAGCTTCTTTTCTCTCACCTTTAGACTGATTTGGAGGCAAAATTTTACCTTAGAAATTTTCTTTTACAAGTTTCAGTTTCTTTCATATACTGATTGAAAAAAATGGTTTCATATGTTTGGTTTCTTTTCTGGATCAACCTTGGTTTTCTGAAGCTGATTTAGAATTGAGGTCAAGTTTCATTCTGGGATTTCCTTATTGATCTTCTGTTATCTTGCTGTTGTTTTCTTTGAGTTTGCTGAGCTTATTCTTCAGTTTTCAGCCCTTTTGGCTTTTGTTGATTGTCTTTCACAAATAGGTATGTGAGATTCCTTCTTGTAACTTTTGTGAATGTGGAAATGCAGAATTAACATATTGATGCCATGTCTACATCTATTTTTATGTGTTTCTGATATTGGTATGCTTAGATCTGATTCATCTATGTTTCTCTTGATGGTTATATGATTATATTAATTCATTTTAAGCTGAATATGTAGGCTATGTTGACTCGTTGGGTTCAAAGTCATTATTAATTCGAGTGTCAATATGAGCTTAAGAAGTTCAGAGGCGTTGGTGTGATGCTTTTACTTTTACACAACCTGAAATGAGGAGTTTTACTTTGTTGATCCTACTGTGCTCCTAAATCATTTCAATTACATGTTATCTTTTAGTTTAGTCATGATTCAAGTCTAATGTCATAGATAGGTCATTGATCTAGTTTAAAGGTTATTTCATGCTCAAAACATCTCCATGTTTGATTGATTGTTCCCTGTATAATGACTTATTTCCTGAAATAGGTGGTTCGTATTTGAAATGGTGTTTGCGGGGCTGATTAGTGAAATCAGTTTGTGTTGATCTCTATGATTTTTTAAATGGAATTGTTCTTTAATTAAACTCAGGAATTACTCAACAGTTAGACTATTCTTTTTTGCATTTGTGTTTTTAGCTACTGCTGGTGGCCAAGTGATTTATGAGAGTAGCCTAGTGGATATCTCAGTAAATCAAGATCAATAAGGGAATTGAAAAGTCACTAGCCTAAATCATTTTTTTCTTTCTGGATATTATTTGAAGAAGGTTGTTAGGAGTAGTGATGTACAAATCTGCTTCCTTATTTATAAAAGGAATGGAACTTGTTGGGTTGTAGTTAGTTAATGACTTGTAATGATTTAATTTTTATACCTCTTTTGTATTGATAAGTTAATTCAATAGTTGATCATATTGTATTATTCTAAACCTGTTGTAGTTAAATACATGCATATTTGATTCTATAGCTTCAGAGTGATAATCCTATAGAAATCTGTTTCTGTATTAAAATTGTGCATTGGGCCTGGTAACTCTGCAAGACCAAATTAGTAGAGCTCCCTTAAATTGAATTTGAGCTCTAATAGTGAACCCAACTGATAGTTTATTTAAGGCTTAGCTGGATGAGCCCAAACTCCATAAGCGAGTCCGATTTGAAAGCCTGTCTGGTAGACAAACCTGGACAACCCATTTGGACTTTGACCATGTTGTTGTAGGAATTTAATGTCATCTACCCCTCTTCCCCCCTCCCCCCAAAAAAAGAATTGTTAACCTTGATAAAGAGAAGGAGGAATATTGTATATCTCATTAGTTTGGCTAAAAATAAAATGTTACGACTAAGCCCGATTATTTTCTAAGTGAGTTAATTACAACAACCTTTCTTACTTTAATGCCTTTGGTTTGAAATTCCCTCTTATAATCCGACATTCGAGGAAATTAAACAGTAATATGCTTTTAGACGCGTTTAATTAATCAAACCATCGTGATCATGTACGAATTCACGTGACATGATTGCGGTTTTACAAAATGAACACTCGTAGAAATGCTTTTAGGTGAGGCTTAACTTATTATTGTGACTGTGTGACGACCCGACCAGTCGTCTTAAGAATTAATGCCCCGATACCCTATTAACTGCTTTCCCCAAGTCTTTTTCTGCTAATTGGGATTGTTGGGATGTTCGGTTTTGAGTTTTAGAGAGTTTTGGGATACTTAGTCCCTAAATGAGAGCTTAAGTGTTGGAAAGTTGCCCGTAGTCAGAACAGTGTGAAGATGAACTCAGAATGGAAATTTTATGGTTCTGTTAGCTCCGTTAGGTGATTTCGGGGTTGGGAGCATGGTCGGAATGTGTTTTGGAGGTCCCTAGCTAATTTAAGCTTGAAATGCCAAAGTTTGAATTTTTGAAGTTTCCGGTCCAATAGTGAGATTTTGATCTAAGGGTCGGAATGGAGTTCCGAAAGTTGCAGTAGTTCCATCATTTCATTTGGAATGTGCGTGTAAAATTTCAGGTCATTCGGACGTGGTTTGGTTAGGGTTTTGATCGAAAGCATGTTTTGAGAGAATTTGAAGTTCTTAGGCTTAAATTATTGATTAATTTGAGTTTCCAACATTGTTTTAGGTGGTTTAAGGATTGGTACAAGTTTGAATGATGTTATGGGATATGTCCGTAGGTTTGGTTGCGGTCTCGGGGGCCTCGGGTGTGTTTCGGATGCTCAACGGGGCATTTTGGAGTTGTTTAAAATTACAGATTTTTGGCTTCAGCTATTGCAGACTTTTTCTTCTTCGCGGTCGCGTCCTCCTCCACGCATTCGCGTAGAGTAATCTTGGAGGAGGACCTGATAACCCTTCGCGTTCACATGAAGCCTCCTGCGTTCGCGAAGCTTCACCTTTTTCCTCATTCGCATTCATGACCAAGCCCTCGCGTTCGCGTAGTTCTATTTGGCGCTGAGGGCTCTCACTATTTTCCTCATCGCGTTTGCATACCCACTCTCGCGTTCGCGTACTTTGCAAAGTCCACTCTTCACATTCGCGTATAGTTCCACGCGTTCCCGAAGAGTAATCCTGGGCCACCATATTTTCCTCTTCCGCGTTTGCGAGTCTGCTTCCGCGTTCGCGAAGCAAAATTTAGTAACCTTCAATTTCCTTCTTCGCGAACCCGTGACTTCCTCCGCATTCACAATGCATAAAATATCTGGGCAGTTATAAACATTTCAAAACCGAGGGTTTAGCCATTTTTATCAAAACTCAAGCTTGAGAGCTCGGATTTGAGCGAGATTTTGAGGGTTTTTCAGAGACAATGATTGGGTAACAATTCTAGACTTTTTTTTTCTTGTAACCCACTAATCTAAGCATGAATTCCTCTTCTAATTTTGGATTTATGAATGAAAAATTGGTAAAACTTCATAGACCGAATTATTGAGTTTTGACTGGGTGTTTGACCTCCGATTTGAGAGTTTTTTATATGGTTAGACCCGTGAGAGTACGAGGATTCTGAAAATGTTAATTTCATCCGATTTCAAGACATTGGCCTGAGGGGCGTTTTGGTCATTTTATCTTATTTCGCGTCTTAACTTTGAATTAAATCATAGAATCAATTGCTTGAGATGTTATTTATGATATGTAATTGAATTGAATAGATTTGGTCCATTTGGAGTCGTAGACGCGTGGCAAACGTGTGGTTTCGAGTTGATTTTGGAGCCGGTTTGAGTTAAGTGGCTTGTCTAACCTTGTGTGGGGGACCTTTCTCCTTAGGACATGATATTTGGTAATTGAATGCCTTGTACGCGAGGTGACGGTCGCGTACTTGAGCTAATTGTTGAAAATCCGGTTTTACTTTAATTATTCAGACTGAGTTTCTTTCTTACCTGATTTATCCCACTTGCAAATATAACCTATTTTAGATTAGAAAATCATGCCTAGTTGACCTAAATTGACTATTTGCTGAAGTTGCTTTGTTTGTATTAAGTGAAGCATATTAGGCTAGAACTACCTGTTGCCTTGTATTTTTGTACTCCATTTCTAAATATTTTCTTGTTGTGGCTGCGTATTTACATTGGGACTACGGATGTGGGATTCCGATAGCTTCCCCCCTTGTTTGTTTACTTTGGGACTACGGGTTAGATTTTTGGTAGACCCCCCTGCACATTTACTTTGGGACTACGGGTTAGATTCCCGGTAGATCACCCTGCACATTTACTTTGGGACTACGAAACGGATTCTGGTAGATCCTCGCGCACTGATAGTTGGACTACGGGACGGTATCCCGGGAGATCATTCGGACATACACATATGATGGACTACGGGACTGTATCCCGAGATCCTTGGACAGTTGATGAAATGGACTACAGGAAGGTATCTTGGGAGATCCTCGTTGTTGTTACTGGTATTGAGCTGTTTTACTCTGTGTTACCTTATTCTCTGTGTATTATTTGTTGCCTTGTGCACCCTGTCTTACTTCATAACTATACTCATTTATACTGTTTATTTATAATGTTGCAAATTTATTATTATGTTTAATCTCAGTAGGGCCCTAACCTTCCTCGTCACTACCCGACCGAGGTTAGGCTTGGCACTTACTAAGTACCGTTGTGGTGTACTCATGCCCCTTCTGCGCATGTTTTTCATATGCAGATCTAGGTACCTCCACCCAGGCGTATCACCCCCGAGGCGGAGAGATCTAGCAAAGACTTCAAGGTACATCTGCCGCATCCGCAGACCAAGGAGTCTATATCTTATTCTACCTCTTAGTAGTTAGCCTTCATTTCGTACTGTTGTTTTTAGACATTCTAGAGTTAGAGCAGTGTATTACATTCTGTTAGCTTGTGTTCCCGTGAGTTTCCGGGTGTTGGGGGATGATATTGTAGACTTTCGCGATATTGAGTTGTATATGCCAAGCGGCATTTATATACAACTTTTCTTCTAGTTGTTTAGTTTTAATTATTTATTTCTGCAAGTTATGTTGTTCCGCATTGATAGGCTTACCTAGTCGTAGGAACTAGGTGCCGTCACGACATGTTTACAAAAGTCGAACAGGGGTCGTGACAGATTGTGTACACGTTCGCGTGACATAGTTACAATTTCCAAAATTAAATCGAGGCATGCATTCGCGAAACTTCGGCCAAACAACCTTAAAATTAATAAAGCATGATCAATTGTGTACACGTATGCGGGATATGATTTTAACACCTCAAATAAAGAGGACTTACACACATGTAGCATGTTTCAAAGATTAAATTCATAAACACCATAATTAAAAGCGGTAAAAGGTAAAATATACATAGGTTCTTAAAATGAGTAATTAAATAATTTTAATTAAATCAGGTATGATTAAAGTGATCGTGCTAAAACCACAGAACTTGGTAGTGCCTAACACCTTGTCCCGGGTTAATAGAATTTCTTACCCGGTCTTCTGTGTTCGCGGACCAAAAATAGAGTCATTTTTTCTCGATTTGGGATTTAAAATAAACCGGTGACTTGGGAAACCATAATTATTCCAAGTGGCGACTATGAAATTAAATAATTAGTCCCATGTCGATTAATATCACTTAAATTGAAAAAACTTCCTATCTCCCCCTCGAGAAAAAAGAGGTGTGACAACTTTGGCGACTCTGCTGGGGGTCGATCCCAGAATCTCTAGTTCAGGGTTCAGAATTCGAGCTTGTTAATTAATCTATACTTGGCTTTATTGTTTGTTGAAATTACCATGTTTGTGAGCCTAATGTGTGAATTGCTGCTCATTTACCGTTTTGATATTATCTGAACTGTATTATACTGTCTTCTTACGCCTTCTTTCTGAGTCTTCTAAAAATATGGTGCGTACGTACGCGTGGCCCACTTTTCTATTAGAAGTCATACCAAATATAACGGAGTTGGGTCAACAACTAGGCTGGGTAAACTTTCATGCTCCTTGTACATTTCCCCCCCTCGGCTCAGGCTATCCGCTTGGATAAGCCATATCTAGAACACAACCCCCAAGTTTAAACCTATAATAACATAACCCCATGCCGGATCTCTAGTAGAAACGCTTGTTTGCATCACGTGCATTTGACTTTAGGGACTCAACACAGGGGTTGGGTCCGTCTAGAACAGGTGTACCCGAAATAAAAGACCATCATGATACATCTTATGTGCTATTCATACATTTATTTGCTTCGGCTTGCATGTTGATCGGCTAGGAAAAGAACATCAAGAGAAAAACCAAGAGTGAGGTAGGAGAAAAATTAAACTCGGTTTTAAAAACCCCGGTATTCGAAAATGTCCCGAAACTCTGCCAAAATATTTTCAAAAAATGTTGAAAATTGAAAAGAAAAAAACCAATAATACAAAAACAACAAAAAGAGTCATTTCAAAGAGAGTTAAATATTTTGTTTTCTCGATTATGTCATGTCACGCTCCAAACCTAGGGAGGTGTGGCTAGCACCCGGTGTCGTGCTAGCCTGAGCGAACGACTCTGTAACTCATTATCGTTCGACCAAAACTAGAACATACATAGTTCGAGTTAGTTGGACTTATTCTTTTTTGTAACTATCATGCGCCCACATGACCACAACTCATAATATACAACTGTAAGTGAAAAACACTATTTCATCGAACCATTTTTCTTAAAATATGAATACATATGGGTCGTCAAGGCCTTTGACATACTGGAAAAAAATGAACCTCTGTTTACAAAGCCTCTAAGATTATTTGACATCAAATGGGAAAGGGTACCGGCCTACCCATAAGTCTGTAGCAAAACTTTGACATGATGACTCATAGACTCGGCTGCACTCCGAATGAGGTGGAGTCTTACCGATCCTTCGTTGAATGCCAATCTTGTCTGTTATGAGGGCTCGTCAAACTGATTGTCTATACCTGCAGGCATGAATGCAGTGTCCCCAACAAAAGGACGTCAGTATGAATAATGTACTGAGTATGTAAGGCAGAACTGAAACATAACAATAAGTCAACATTAATTAAAAACATATAAGAATCAACCTTAATATCTAAAGTGCAACCATTTATGCATACTTATTATATTTACCTATATAATGCTTCTCTTTAAGACTATTTCTATCATCCGTATCGTATGATGCATGACTGCACAACTGATCAGTAGTAACTGGCCGACCGACCGTAGCACGGTGGTAAATGCATGACTTCCCGACCGACCGTAGCTCGGTGATAAATGTGTAACTGCCCAACCGGCCGCAGCTCGGTGGTAAATGCGTATGCATGACTACCCAACCGGTGGTAAATAATGATACATAACTACCCAACTGGTGGTAACTGCCCGACCGGCCATAGCCCGGTGGTAAATGAATGAAGATGCATATACATGTATCACTATATTATAAATATTAACATTACTATCATATACCTCAATAGGGAATTAGATATACACATAGACATGCTTGAATGTCACTTTTTAGGAATGAATAATAGAGACATCCTTAATTGCTAAGAGTAGAACCACTTATGGAATATCATTACGCTTACGTATCGTTACTTGGATCATGCCAAAAGAAAGAAGGAATAGCGTTAACATACCTAAAGTAAGGAAAAATCCGCATGATATTCTTAGGAAAGGTTGCACCATACCGCCTTAGAATCGCAAAATCTCACACTGCTTAAGATGCTATGAAATCAAGTACTCCATCCTGGGTTATTTTGGCAAAATGATCATATGAAGATATCATGAAGAAGGGCACAAATAGATAGAAAGAAAATTCCAACCCAAGGGTATCTCAGAAAAAGAGATGATATAATAGTACCTAACCTAAAGAAAAAAAACAGACACGCATCATGTACCATTAAAAATGAATATCATAATCAGTGACAGCTTAGCTTCATCTTTTAGGAATGATCACCCGCGCCTGAAATTAAGTAGAACCGAAGAAGGAATTATTATGCAAAGAGACGTCAAAGAAGATGCATAGCATCATATGTTTGAACTAGCACGATACCAAATAAACTTAGTGACTTAACGAGCAGAGAAGAGTGTCCTTTATACTACTGATTATGCGGAAGACAGTAACCCGTATATAGCAACAATTTTCATAAGAAAAGCCATGTATATTGATTAGGATTGTAAAGAAAATGAATGAATAGGAGTAATATGTCACATTGAATGGGAATACACGTGGTTTAAAAATACAGTAGTACTTTTCTTAACACATGGATACGTATTTTTGTTTTATTGAAAAGTGAGTTAGTACCATTCCAAAAGTCTTAATCAATTAGTTAATCTTCCATTAAAATCAATAATTACTCAATTATCTACATAATTAAAAATTATTTGAAATTACTTAAAATACTACTCACTTTTAACATATCTTATACACCATACTATCATGGTCATGTGGTACCATATAAAATAAATACATACACTATTATTTTATTAAAACATCCATATAAAAATACAAATATTTTCTCAACTTATAATATTCCTAATTTCATATAAATAGTACAAATATTCGTATGTTTAATTCTTAAAATGGTAAAAAGATATCCTTTTTTTCGTGTGAGAAAATAATTTATATCTTTACAATAAAGAAAATCACATAAACTTTCTCATATTATGCATATAATTAAAGCATATTCGAAAGTAGTAAAATTTATAACTATATAAAATCATACTTTTCAAACTTTTTATAAAAAATGTTCCACTCAAAAACCATATCAAACGTATATAACGATGTCAATATTATTAAACTCATGGGATGTAACATGTCAAAATTGACCGAACTACGCCGATATAATTCTCACCGGATGTGAGATACGTAGGCAACCTACATAGGATTCAACATTATTTTTGCAAAGAATAACAAAAAATAAAATAAATATGTCAAGTGATTTGGTCAAAAGAATAAGCCGACCCAGCTTCGGTTATGTCTCGATCCTTTTTTCCGGAATAGCCTTAGAACATCTTCAAATTGTTGAAGGGATATTCTCGCAAAAAAATGGACATGTATGTCGACGGGACATCACTTTTTCCATAAAGTATCCTTCTCCGGTCTCAAACGTTATTTGAAAGTGTGAAGGGGCCATTATTGCAAAAAATAGCCACCTATTGCTAATATTCCATAAGTAGCCACTCTCCTTTGATTTTTCTTTAGAAAATTGAAAACTTATTTTGCAAAAAGAGTCCACTGAAGTCAACCCTAACCTCGACCATTCACAGGTACAAAATGAACTATGTCCAGAATCTGCCAGTAACAGTCATAGAGCAGGCTCCACCGCAACTTCAAATGTGATGGTATGACTTATACAAAGATGGTTAAGATTGGATAATAGAGCATTTGGGCGCTCTCATAGACATCATGAATGTTAAACCGTGGAACGATCTGATTAAGGCCTTGGTAACTTTCAACGTCTTTCGCTCCTCAAATTTTGAGCTTACTCCCACCTTGGAAAAAATAGCCGGATATGTTGGTTTTGGTCGACACTTGAGAAATCAGCAACTCATATTCCCAAGGCCTCCCTCCATACACCGCTTCTTTGATCTCTTGAACATCAGTAAGCAAATAAGGAAGGACAATATAAACAAAGGATGTTGTTCCTTTTACTTTACGTACTCTAGGTTTGGGCACTCAACTAGGTTTGAACCATATGAAAAGGGGCTAAACAACAAGCAAAATCAGAGTACATGGCAAATTCATCGTTTCTTTATTTTCATAGTGGCATTTCGGGGAATTATGGTCTTCCCAAATACAGAATGGACAATAGATATTCACATGGCTAGAATTGCGTAAGTTCTCATTGCCAAAGAAGATCAGCTCTTGCTCTATTAACACTGGTGGACATCTATCGAGCACTACCATTGTGCAAGTTTGGGGATTAGTTTTTTGAAGGGTGCAACATTCTTTTGCAAATGTGGTTGAGCGAGCACCTCCGCCATCACTCCAAGTTCATGAGTTATGGCCCGAGCAAGAACAACTTCA